GGTCTCCACGAAGCTGCTCCCAACCAAGGGCTTGGGAGGCACCAGGGAAGGTTCTCCAGGAGGTTCCAGGTCTCGTGGGAGGTGGAAGGGAAGGAATGAGACATCCCACCCCCCCAAACCAGCAGGCAAAGGGTAAATCATGAATCAAGCAGGGCATGAAGACACTTCCCTCTGGCTCCAGGACACGGGTGGGGACAAGGGACACTACCAACCAGTGGAAGAGGTGGCCCCAGTCAAGGTCCAGCTGAGAACTTCTCGTCCAGGTTTGGGGGTCTGGAAGACCCAAGAGGGTGTCAGGGTCTTTGTGGTGGGTGTGGGTGTCCAAAGGGAGGGTTGGAGGATCTGGGGAGGGTGGGCAACCGTGGAGGGGCAGTGGTGGAGAAGTTCTGAGCCTGGTTGGACCACCAGTCCATCCGTGGGGGATGTGGTGGCAGCAAAGTTGAGGTTCTGTGGCAAGGAGGAGCAACTTGGTGGTGCTGATGGTTCCCAGCTCTGCCGACCCTCCTGGTCGTGGTTGGACAGCAAAGATCATGATCCCAGCAGGACGTGTGGAAGGGGAACTGGGCATCCCAAGGGGCAGGAGGAGCTTGTGTCCAGCCAAGGTGACACAGAGATGTCCCCACAGAGAGGAGAAAAGGACCCGAAACCTCTTGGCAATGGGTGATCCCGAGTGCTTGGGGTGCGTTGAGGAGGAAAGTCCTGCAGGGTGAAGGACCTTCAGGAGCATCTCTGAGGGGATGAGCTTGGCTTTCAGGGGTGGCTGCTTGAAGTTGAGCTGTCAGGGAGGGTTCAAATGGCTCCTGGGGACACGGAGGTGGCACCAGCACCTGGTAGGAGAGGACGGGAGAACCAGTTTGGACCTTCCACCCTGCTCCTCCGTCCCACAAACGGTCCCACGACGGGGCCAGAACTTCTCTTGGCCTCCAGACCTTGGGTCTGAGGGGGCTTTCACTACTCGTTGAAGATGGTGTTGAGTTGGGGTCCAGCCACGGGGTGGGGGTAGGACTCGTAGCTCATGTCCATGGGGATCTCATAGCGGGGGACAGAGGTTGGGAAGTGGGTGGGGTGTCCATGGGCTCCAGGCAGGCTGCCAGGAGGGTAGTGAGCCATGAAGGTGTAGGACTTGTCCAGGTCTGGAGATCCATCTGGCTTCAGGGAGAAGTTGCCACTGATGCTGAGGGGTGGGGTCAGGGGACCCTCGTAGGGGGGGGTGGTGCAGCCAGAGGGGTGGTTCCCAAAGGAAGCGTCCACCAAGGTCTTGAAGGTCGGAGGCTTCAAGTGCAGCAGGTGGGTCTCCATGGTCCCATAGGGTGGGCTGGGGAGCCCGGGGGACTGGTAGGTGAAGGAGTGGCTGGAGATGGCCGAGTCACACCCCGAGGACTTCTCTTCATGCTTCTCCAGGAGCAAGGTCTGAGGTCCCAGCTGCAAACACCCAGCCACCAGGTTGCTGGTGGGTTGGGACAAACCCTTGCAGAGCATCTCCACAAAGCTCTTCCCTTCCGGGGTCTGCCCGGTCTCCAGCACCTCCGACAGAGCCCAGATGTAATTCCTGGCCAACCTCAAGGTCTCGATCTTGGACAACTTCTGAGTCTTGGAGTAACAGGGCATCACCCTCCTCAGGTTGTCCAGGGCATCGTTCAGCCCGTGCATCCTCGTGCGCTCCCGAGCGTTGGCCTTGACCCTCCGAGCCCTGAACCTCTCCAACCTTGCCTTGGTCATCTTCTTCTTCTTTGGTCCTCTTCTCTTGGGCTTCTCCCTGTCATCTTCCTCCTCTTCTTCTTCTTCCTCCTCCTCCTCGATGCTGTCGGGCTCTTCGGTCAAGCCAGGGATCAAAGGAAAAGGACCCGACCTGTTGTCCTGCTCCTTCTGCTCCTCTTTGGAGCTCAAGGTCCCGTCCAACCAGGTTTGGGTGCCCACGAGTTCTGCCATTTCCTGGGCCTTGCTGGACGGCTTGGTCATCTCTGATCCCTGCAACGAGGTGGGGAGGAGACATGGACCCATTTCCCCCACCCCTGGGGTCCCAGGGGGACT